GTAATAATAGACTTAGGGCCCATGAAAGGGATCAGTTTGGGTTTGGAGTTGCAAGGAGTAAGAAATTAGAATTAGTAAGGTCTGGTAAGGTTGATTATTAAGTTATATGTGGGTAACTTATAAGGTATAATAAAAGTTTCAATTGTTTATTTTAGGTGAAATAAAGATAATGATGTGAAAATGTAAAAGAACAATTGAAAAATCCTCCAATGGAAGATGGAAAGTAGAAAACAGATGAAGGAAAGCCACTAGAAAGCCACCCAATGGGAGCATATAAGTGAAAGACAATTTAATCCCTAGAAATCTCAGAGAACCAAGTTTCTAAACTAGATCTCATCTAGCATGAATGACAAACTAAAGTTATAAGCAATTATGTGTTTATATATTGTTTTGTTTATACACTGACAAACATCAGCTTTATTTTTCTCTCCTATTAGGCTAAGGGAATCAATGACCCCAGAAAGATTGAGGGATCTTTTTATAGATACACCATAAAAAGCCTACCACTCACCTTCATACAACATATGCTTTCTAGATCTGCCCCACTCAATTAACCAGGAAGTTCACATATAATTGTACAACTTTTATACCTAGTGGAAAAACTGCATTCTTTGGGGAAGTAGGCAATAGATATATGTTAAAAAGCCACCCTCTAACACTAGTTTTTTAGAAGCAATAGCAATGTATAAATCACAGCATGAGTTAGAAAACTTCAATGCAACCAAAAGATACCACATCTAAAGAAGGAAATAATATATGAAATATCATAATCAACAAACAATATTTATAATGTTTTAAAATTTTCTACAAGTTAATAAGTAAAATATAAGCTATTCAAAAGAAAAAACAGCAAAAGACTAATAGGTGATTCACAGAAAATAAATCTGAAGTGTTCATTGAGCATATATGGAAAGATGTTCAAAGACCAATATTAAAATAGTGTTCATCTCTTAAGGATGAGGAAGAGAGGGGAATGAAATTTGGAAGAAAGCATGCAGAGGAAGTGAGGGGTGATCAGGCTGGCAGGGGGGGCAGTTAGGGGCAACCAGGCAGGCAGGCAGGTGAGCGATTAAGAGCCAACAGTCCAGGATTGTGAGAGGGATGTCCGACTGTCCCCAGGATTGGGCCTAAACCGGCAGTCAGAAATCCCCTGATGGTTCCCAGGTTGGAGAGGGTGCAGGCTGGGCTGAGGGGACCTCCCAACCCCCGTGCATATGGCTAATATGAAAAGTGTCCCCTCAGAAGTTCAACCAGGAGACTGGGAGTTTGATTGCTTGCTATGATGTGCACTGACCACCAGGAGGAGGTGTGGAACGAAGGAAAGCCCCAGCCAACACCTGGAAGACCTCAATCGGCCCTGATCGCCGGCCAGGCCTAGAGACCCTATCGGTACATGAATTTCGTGCACCAGGCCTCTATTTTATATAAAATCTATAGATCTTTCTACTTACAATGAAAACAAGTTGGTTAATAAATTACGTATCTTTTTTGAAAGCCAAGTCAGCAAACAGTGCGGTATATTAGATTCATTTTGATATAGCAATTTATTGGCTTTTTGTTAGGGGCATGTTTGCTTTATGGGAACTCCCTTATTCCTATATCTCTCATATAAATAAAACTGTTTATTGTTATTAATTATTATTATATTAGAAAGACACTAAATAAAGTATGCCACCTTACCTTGATTTGATTCATTTGCTGGGTACAATTTAGCAGAATGAGGTCATATATTAAGTTTGGTTATAATGAAGGCAGAGAATGGAAGAAGAACATTTTAGGAAATACCTTTAAATAATAAAAAGCAGAGTGAATATTGCTAAATATTAACATGTGGTTATCTAAGTGGTAAATATATGCATGTTTGACTTACTCTTTGTATTTCCTTTTATATTTATAAAATATTTCTTAATAATAAATTTACAAAATATGTATGACAATTTTACCATTGAATTCTATAAAAATTTCTCCATCTATGATTTTTATGAGAAAACATAATAAGGGAGGCAGTATGAACTAAGGGAAAAACATAAGAGGAGGAGTTAGAATTCTAAATCTAGTCCCAAATCTGCCAATTGCCCACTGTGTGACCCTGAGTAAATCACTTAATTCTTCTAAAACTGACTTCTCACCTGAAAACTTGAATAAATCCACCTTTACTACATAAAGTTATTGTAAGAAGTGAATTATTTCATGTATATAAAAAGTGATGTTCAAATGTAAAGAAAAAATATATGAAAATTCTTAAAACCTCTAGGTAATTGAAATTAAATGAACATACTTTCCCATGTATTGTCATTCTGAACTTATGGAAACAGACATTAAAACAGAAAGACACACATCTCTTCTTACCGGGTCTATTAGCTGGGAATAGAGTTCGTGGCAATTATCAAAAATGTACTTGTACGTAGAATCCAGGCAAGCTCTGACACAGTCCTTTACCACCATGCTGGCCTTTGGGGGGTTTTGCAGCTCCAGAACCTGACAGAGAAATTGTTTTATTAAATTGAGAAATGGAACATTGCAATCTAGTATAAACAACTCAAACCATTTCAATAAAGGCTTTTAGTTGATTTTTCTATGTTCAGGAAAAATGTGGTCATAGAAATGTTATAAATGAGTAAATATCCACTTGATCTAATGTGACAACTCATTGAAAATGTACATAGTTGTAAATATTCAAATAGAAACACTAAATGTGACCAATCACATTATTTATTTATTTCAATCATTTGACAAATATTTATCACCTATTATATGCCAGATAATGGTTATATTGCAATGAACAACAGAAACAAAAATTCCACCAAATGACTGAATAGCAGGCTGTGTGGGGCGACCAGACCAGTGGGGAAGGGGACAGTTAGGAGCGACCAGGCCAGCAGGGAGGGGACAGTTGAGGGCGATCCTGCCAGCATGCAGAGGAAGTGAGGGGTGATCAGGCTGGCAGGGGGGCAGCCAATCAATGATTCTTTCTCATCATTGATATTTCTATCTCTCTCCCTTCCTCTCTGAAATCAATTAAAAAATATTTTTTAAACATCTCTTTCATTATGGAGATTTTAGTAGATAAAAAAATCAGTAAAATATATTACACTAGTGGTCTGGTGCATGAATTCATGCATTTGAAAGAAAATTAATTAGAAAAAAAATTTTAATATTGCTCTTCACCCTTTCTCTATAATAGAAGTGTCAACCAAATTCACGATCAACAATGACAGATCGAAACACCACCTGGAAGACCTCAATCGGCCCTGATCGCCGGCCAGGCCTAGAGACCCTATCGGTACATGAATTTCGTGCACCAGGCCTCTATTTTATATAAAATCTATAGATCTTTCTACTTACAATGAAAACAAGTTGGTTAATAAATTATGTATCTTTTTTGAAAGCCAAGTCAGCAAACAGTGCGGTATATTAGATTCATTTTGATATAGCAATTTATTGGCTTTTTGTTAGGGGCATGTTTGCTTTATGGGAACTCCCTTATTCCTATATCTCTCATATAAATAAAACTGTTTATTGTTATTAATTATTATTATATTAGAAAGACACTAAGTAAAGTATGCCACTTTACCTTGATTTGATTCATTCTCTGGGTACAATTTAGCAGAATGAGGTCATGTTTAAGTTTGGTTATAATGAAGGCAGAGAACGGAAGAAGAACATTTTAGACATATAGAACAGGAAACATAAATGCATGGATATGAACTTATAGTAATAATAGACTTAGGGCCCATGAAAGGGATCAGTTTGGGTTTGGAGTTGCAAGGAGCAAGAAATTAGAATTAGTAAGGTCTGGTAAGGTTGATTATTAAGTTATATGTGGGTAACTTATAAGGTATAATAAAAGTTTCAATTGTATATTTTAGGTGAAATAAAGATAATGATGTGAAAATATAAAAGAACAATTGAAAAATCCTCCAATGGAAGATGGAAAGTAGAAAACAGATGAAGGAAAGCCACTAGAAAGCCACCCAATGGGAGCATATAAGTGAAAGACAATTTAATCCCTAGAAATCTCAGAGAACCAAGTTTCTAAACTAGATCTCATCTAGCATGAATGACAAACTAAAGTTATAAGCAATTATGTGTTTATATATTGTTTTGTTTATACACTGACAAACATCAGCTTTATTTTTCTCTCCTATTGGGCTAAGGAATCAATGACCCCAGAAAGATTGAGGGATCTTTTTATAGATACACCATAAAAAACCTACCACTCACCTTCATACAACATATGCTTTCTAGATCTGCCCCACTCAATTAACCAGGAAGTTCACATATAATTGTACAACTTTTATACCTAGTGGAAAAACTGCATTCTTTGGGGAAGTAGGCAATAGATATATGTTAAAAAGCCACCCTCTAACACTAGTTTTTTCGAAGCAATAGCAATGTATAAATCATAGCATGAGTTAGAAAACTTCAATGCAACCAAAAGATACCACATCTAAAGAAGGAAATAATATATGAAATATCATAATCAACAAACAATATTTATAATGTTTTAAAATTTTCTACAAGTTAATAAGTAAAATATAAGCTATTCAAAAGAAAAAACAGCAAAAGACTAATAGGTGATTCACAGAAAATAAATCTGAAGTGTTCATTGAGCATATATGGAAAGATGTTCAAAGACCAATATTAAAATAGTGTTCATCTCTTAAGGATGAGGAAGAGAGGGGAATGAAATTTGGAAGAACTGCAAAGTGAATTGCCATTTCTTGTGTAACATTTAAATACCTTTAAATAATAAAAAGCAGAGTGAATATTGCTAAATATTAACATGTGGTTATCTAAGTGGTAAATATATGCATGTTTGACTTACTCTTTGTATTTCCTTTTATATTTATAAAATATTTCTTAAT